GCATTTTGAGTGTTGAGTAAGTATGTAAATGGCCGCGCCATAGCTCACGCGGTTAGTCGCTGGCTTCCCACCGCGGCGGCCCGCGTTCGATCCCGGGTCTGGTCAATTGGGATTTGTGGTGGACATAGTGGTGCTGGGGCAGGTTTTCTCCGAGTACNTGGCTAAGAAATCCCTAGCATTTATGGGATTAAAATATTTATCACAAAACCCATCTGTGACACTACCGCGATGCCGCTCAGTTCTTTGTTGATTTATCCCCAAACACTTTCGACCTCAGTTCTTCCGTTTGACTGAGAGAAGCAGTTAGCCACCCATACAAAAGATAAACAGTGGAAAAGGCGTAATTTTGTAAGGTTTGTTTAATCTCCAACATAATAAAGGAAACAAACAGTATTAAGGTGGTATTAAGAGATATGTTTATATGTTTCATTGGATAATTCATCGTACATTCCGTAAAATCATAAGAAGAACGTTTAGTAAATAGAGCAACTGATAATATATTCCCCAATTTAGGGACACACAAATTCATAATTTGTGGGGGAAGATATTAAATTACTTAGAAGAAATTAATATTTCTTAATTATGATTGGTCTTATTTATTTATACGAGTATATATATGTATTTCAATTGCCCAAAAGACTCAAAATACTCAGTTTCCAGACATCACAATCTGTGTGCTCATTTGTTGCGTGTTACTCCGAATATGGAGAAAAAAAGTTCCCCGTAAACTTCAGTAGTGCTCTATCAGGCTAAACGGAGTCACATTCCTGTAGACACCGCTCTGAGGAACTCAGGTCTTATAACTTAAGTTTCACTTGACGATACTGAACTACATTCCGTAGGAAGATTGGGAACAATAAATTGGAAATGACTTGGAAGGAAGGTGTCGTGGCCTTATCGAGGCACTACCCTAATATTTGTCTGAAGTGGCTAGGTAACCTCAGCATGTCACTATGGCGGTAACCCTGGGGCGATTCGAGCGACGCACTTCACGAACATAAGGCACAAGAATTATTATTTCTATCATCATAATCACAAGCAGTATTAAGATAAATGTATAATATGTAAGTAAAGCTAACCCGGTGACAGGCCGTGGAGGCCCATAGGGTTGTGAGATGTTGAGGGTCCCACATTATCTACACAATCGGCTCAAAGATGGCGGTAAGGTTGTCAGCTTCACGCGCCGGCCGCGCTCTACTCCCCAGGAAAATTATTTAATTAATTCCTGGCACTCATTTCTGTTAGAGGCTTAGTCGATCATAGGGACATAGTGCGGCTGGAAGGAACAGGTCAAATGAAAAAATCCAATGACCTCATCGGGACTTGAACCCGCGATCTTCCGGCTTGTAGTGCCTCAACCAACTATGTTACAGCATACACCCTTAGTAGTAGTAGTAGTAAAGCATGAACAGTAGCAATAACAGCATTAATAGTGACAGCAGCAGTAATAGAAGTAGTAACATTGCTATCACCACCATAACATGATTTCTGGGCGGTGGCTACTCAACATGAGCCACAGAAATTACTGACATGAACTGCAGTCCCGTCAGATTGGATGACTTATCAGTTTGCACAAACAAATGTTATTATTTCAATTGCTACTGCGTCAGACATCCTTCATGTGGCAGTTGTCAACACAGGTGTGGGCAATTACATACTTCCAATTACAGGTTCAGTGACAGTGCCTGTCACTGAAGAGCAAGTAATACTGATATGTATAACAACAGTTTGACATTAATGCTTTCTATGTATCGATTGCCAAACGGCGTATGCCGTCACCAGCAACGTCGTTCCATCTAAAGTAAAAAAAAAAAAAAATTGTCCTTGTGCTTAACTAATTAATCCCTAGGACTTGAAGACAAATGTGGGAGTGGTTGTAGTTCCATGTATTCTTGACCTTGGGACTAGCTGGAGGTGAGTGGTCGGCTCCATGCCCCGGCCGCTTTACCCCAGAGGAAGGAGCCTCCTATAGTCATTGGATACGAGGTTGCGTAGAACCCAGAATCAGTCTGCATGACGTGAAGAGGAGAAATATCTCACCCCCACCCGCAACACGAACTCCTCCCTCTGGGCCGTTCTGGCCGTAGCCAGTCGCTGTACAGAGCGCTCTGTCCCATCTTACTCATCGTTTCCATCTACTGAATTCAATTTATATTTTTTTTTCTACAAATCATTGAAATGAAAGGACTAACGTGTGTCGATATACCCACCATTAAAGTTGCTGAAAGGGAACTGTGAGGAGGAACTCAATGTGTTCCGCTTCCGGTCTAGAATTTTTGGGGCGATAGCAACAGCGACACTGCATGCCAGTACTTGAACCACTCTTACTACAAATGAAAACAGATGAATCTATTTGTTAACATATTTTTGGAAGCCACCCACATTGATTCAAGCACTAGCCGGTCAGCGAGGATCGCCGGCAGCTACAAGGCTCATTGGTTCGCCCTCTGTTAGCGACAACGTATAAGGATGCGGATCCCCGACACTCTAGTCGTCAATCGCAGCCTATAAACTATCCGCTGCTACGCAACGGCTAAGTAATCAGGTTTCCATAGAAACGGATTGGTACGAAACATTAACGGAACAGCAGAAGCCGGCGATTCTTTTCCGGTCAGCAACTAAGTTACATAGCGTGGATTAACGGGAGGCCAAGGGAATAAAACGAGAAGACAGTACAGATGCGTAGGAAATTCCACTGTCCGAAGCTCGTAAACTCGTCAGTATGTTCATTGCAGCAACAATAAATAGTTGATACTGAAATATACTACACGGTTGTCTCTTTAAGCAACAACAATCCCACATATTTTTCGTCGACATGTTGATTTATCGTTTGGCTTACTCTTCGACTTTGAAGCTACATGCGACCTATTCCTCTGAAACGTCGGCTGACTTTGACCGGAAACTATACGTCTATTTGGAAAGAACTCTGTTCGAATCTCAGTCTAGCACCAGCCATCATGATGTTTTCAGTGAATTTTCTAGTCCCTCAATGCAAATTCCATGATAGTGCACAGGATTAGGCCACGACTACTTCCTTCCGGTTCTTTTCAATTCATTATTCACCAATCATTATACCACTGACGTTGTGCGGTCTAGATACTGACATGGTCGTAAAATAAACACAAAATATCGTCATCCTAATATTCTTAGTGTATTTGTCACTTTAGATTGTTCGCACTGCAGAAAGCTGTTACTAGTAAAACATTAAAAGTGAAAAGTACGGATAAAATACTAGCATCAAGTGAAAATAATTGTATAAAAAGTAGCAGACTTATTTTGTAATCCTGACAGAGGAGACGTCCATTGCTAGGCATCGGCTGGTTAAACAAGTTACCGAGGCAACAAATACGTAAGCAACAAAAGATGAATTATTCGAGAGGTTGTTTTCTGTTCAGTCCGTGCAAAATTGTTATAAAGAATAGTTCAGTTGAGAATGACTCACTCCAATTCAAGAGTTCCAAGTGAATAGCTAGTCGAGAGTAGGGCTCTGCAAGCGAGGCTGAGAAGATGGTGGTATAAGTTCAGGTTGGAGTGTTAACATGCAGGAAATGACGTGACAAAGGAAGCTGAAGAATCTCCATTGTCAAAGTTACCAGGAAAGTTGTAGTGAAAACATTGCAGAGGACTAGCCATTGCTGAGAGCTATTACCAAGCAACGACTAGTGAAAGGAGACTGAGAAGACTTAGCGTGGTGTGATTTGTAGTGTGGATATCAGCGATAATGTTGAAATTGCCTGTACTTCCGAGTGGTGTATACAAGTGATCAGTAAATCCAATATCCAATCAATATCGAGTCTATAGTTACAACCCCTAAGTCGTGATAATGCGATGGCGTGCCGCCTAAAAGCCGGACTATATATCGTCCATCGCTGCGCAACGGCTGCAATTGGAACGCATACTTCAGCGGCAAGGAATACATGGAAAGACAACTACCTAAGAAACTGCCTAGACAACAGAGACAATATTGTTACGTTCCAACTGCAACGAATAGACCAGCTAATGAATACTCTAGCTAAAATGCAAAACAGAACCATTCGACAAGGTGTTCGCTCAACGGTACGAGAAGAGCCTCAATCACTGGACGCAGTGACTGAGGCTAGCTCTTTCTATGGGACCCAACAGAATAGGTGTTTTCCCTCACCTGAGGACGGAAACAGATCTAGTTTCCGAAACGTCGTGTTTTTCTTAGTTATCTTAAAAGCAGGATGGTGGATAAAGTCCGAAAATCCAATATCTCTGTGTGCCAATAATTACTGGTTACGGACAATACCTTAATGGTGTGGGCACTAAGGAGAGTATTTCAGACCAGAAGAATAACGTGACAGCAGATTGGAGACGGCTGCATAATAAGGAACTTCTTACTTCGAATTCTCAACCAAACATCATTACGGTGATAAAACCAAGGAGGTTATGATGGGGCCGTGTAACCATTGAGGGAAAAAGGAAAAATGAGTAAAAATACTCAGTCGGGATAAGGGATGTGGAAAAACGCACTTGGGAGATCTATACATGGATGGGGAATAATACTCGTATTAATACGGATGTAGAGTGGATTGTTCTGGCTCGGGATATAGATCAGTCGCATGATCTTGAAAATATGTTAATACATTTTCGGGTTTCATAAAGAGAGTAAACTTCTTGACCAGATGACCGACTGCTGGGTTCTCAAGGACTATGGAACATGGAGTTAGTTTCTTGTATAATTCTACAAAATATTATAGGTATATTTGACTTTCACTGATACTACGAATGAGTTGTGTAATTCTGAATTCTTATATAGCTTGTATGTTTCATTATCAGTGAAAAGAACCCGCTCTGCCATCACCTAGCACTCACAATTGGCTACTGTAGATGTTCATGTAGCCTTCACTTTACATTAAATATCTGAGTGACTTCAAACTGTAACTCAGGGAAACTAAGAGGCACGTTCGAGAATTTTTATAAATGCTGTGAAGTTGTTACAGGCAATATGACAGCTGAATACAAAATCCACATTTTACCTTGCGCGTCCAGTGGATACTAGGCACGGGATTTCCCGACGCTTTGCATTCTAGCGTGATAGACCCTCCCTTGCGAGCCTTCAACTGACCATTTGAGGGCGACATTCGGATGCTTGGTGGCACTGAAACAAAAGAAGAAATAGATGCGATTTAGTGCATTACATGATGAAAAAAAAAAAAAAGAAAACATAAAGACGGAAAATTAGCAAAAGTTTCAGATTTGAGGATCTCAGGGCAGTGACTATGAAGGGTACCATTTTCTTGTTGTTGGGTATAGGTCTACCGACGTTACTCCGAAACGTCTGCGAACTTCCAACGGACTGCATGGGATTACATCTCAGAAGAAACTGCTCAATTTTAGATAGAATTGTTCCCCATTTGTATCAGAACAGACATAAAAACAAACCTGAAAATAATATCACGTGTATTCAGATTAATATAGCCTAAGCATACTGGTATTTCAAAGGAAAAGGTTAGCAGCCCTTCGATCTGAGTTACGTCCTGGAGCAATAAACATCCTAAATTTAATCGAATACATTAGTTATGAGGCATACTCCTTAAATCACGAATTTCTGGCAAGAACTTATGAATTACGTATATCATGCTTCAAACGCATCAGCCTATATTACAGGGCTTCCCACCAGAGCAAATTCTGATAACACTGAATTAGCCGCACACAATATCAATTATTCACAACGTTGCAGTGTTGCAATTTTAGTAAATACAGGTAAAACTAATTTATATAAAATTAGTCCTTATCATCATCGCATTATCGTGATAGCATCGAGCTATATAAAACCTCCCCGCTCTCTTTGAGAGCAAGCAATATTGATATTTCGGTCATCATTTTGGCGACCATATGACTTGTTGCCTTTCTGGTCTACAGGCCTACTGTATATTGATATTTGTTTAATACAGGTATGTACCGTTTCCACTCTTAGAACACGATTTTTCCATCAGTCATCCTATCTCAAACATTTCAAATTCATCTCTAATTACTACTTTACTCATTTCATCCACTGCTGTATATCGTCTCTGTTTCGTGTGGCTCCCATTCTGGAGTATAGGGCATCTGTGAAACGCTGTGTTTCACTTCAGTTTCTAGAATAGTCGGTAGGAACTCTGGACGGGGGGTCAGCCCATCGCAAGGCCGCTACCTACACAGAACAATACAAATACAAAGTAAAAGCAGACAGACATCCATGCTTTGAGGGGGATTCGAACACACGATCCCAGCGTTCGAACGAATAAAGAGTGTTCATGCATTGGTCCGCGCGGCCACTGTGATTGGTTGTCCCACATAATTACTACAAATTTCATCTTCTTCTTTTCCTTGGCACTACAGCCTCAGTGGGCCTAGGCCTACCTCCATGAACTTATCAGTTCGCTTCGGTTTTTCTACAACTTACACATTCGGTAGGACTCCTTCCGGGTGATTAGTTCGTCGCAAGGCCTCTACCTGTACACAAACTAAACATCCATGCCCTGAGTGAGAACAAATTTCATCTTAGCCATTTTAATTCACTCTCCATCTTTTAAGGAAGATCGCAACTCTATAGGGTGTCTATTAAGTTCTCTCCGTCTGTCTGTTTGTGTCTGTAGGTAAGCATAAACTAGAGAATTTGTCATTCTGGAACTTGGATCAAGTATGTAACAATACTGAAGTCTTAGTTTGAACGGAACAAAAATAAAGGACTCTCTTCTGTGAGTATCGTTAGCGTCGCTCTCTCAATACTCCTCAGAGCGAAACATGTTTCGAACGAAAGACGTGTGCAAGAATGAAGCACACATCCCATATCCAGTGCACTGGGTCCGAGATAATTAAAGAAAACTGGAGCTCTGCTTATATTCCCTAAGATGTTTATTCAACAGCGATTTCCCTAGCACAGCTGAAATTTCTGAACACTCTTATTCTCAGCAATAATACAATGAAGCCTTTATCAACTTCAATTTAAAGATATACACGTAAATGGATGCACATTTAACTAAAGTATATATGTTTGTGCTGTGAAGTTCTTTACTCTTGTTCAATCTACACGACAAAAGAACTGCTTTCATTGTTTCCGCAGATGAACGCAAATAAACAAATAAAAGAACAGAGAGACTTCTATGAGATTAGCCTGCGTTGAAATGAGACGTTCTAACGTTAATATAGTTCTCATGCTCCACTGCAACACGCCTCTACGTCCCAGAAGCATAAAAAGGTCGCAGTGGACTCTGTATTGAATTATGAAGCACGTCGTGAGGACATGTGGGGAAGTGGAGGTGGAGTTACATGCATTCTTAAATCTAAGTAAGGCCGCGCCATAGCTCAAGCGGTTAGTCGCTGGTTTCCCATCGCGGCGGCTCGGGTTCGATCCCAGGTCTCCTCAAGTGGGATTTGTGGTGGACAAAGTGGTGCTGAGGCAGGTTGCCTCCTAGTACTTTGGTTTCCCCTGCCAATCTTCATTCCACCAATTGCTCCACAATCACCCTCACCTATCATTTGGGGCTGGTAGAATAGGCCAGAAATGGCCGCAGTACAAGGGACTTAGTCCCACCCCACTAGCAATAAATCTAAGTATTAAGTGGAGGTCATTGATTAGCTTTAAGTCCCGGCCGCTTTAACCCGAAGAAAATAAAATATCCGACTGGAGAGGAAGCTGAGTGGGCCCCGAAGCCGGTCTCGACGCCGTGGAAAAGAGACAAATCTCAATCCTCTGGTGGGAATCAAATTGCGCCTAGCCCTTATCCGAAGAGATTTTCTGCCAGTGGCTGCAGTAACAGTAAGCACTGAAGTCTTTATACACATTTTTTCCATTCAGTATCCCTGCGTAGTTTTCACTCCTCGTCCTATTTGAATAAGTACCAACTAATAGGGAATAGCCCGTCACGTTAGTCGGGCGGTCTAAGGAATGTACTGTATTCGGTCGCTCGGAAGCCGGGATCGTGGGTTCGAATCCTGCACAAGACATGGATATTTTATGTGTGCACATGTTTATTCTGTGTCTGTGCTGTCCTGTGTTTAGGTAGAGGCCTTACGACAAGCTGATCTCCCGCCCAAGGAGTCACACCCTCTGTAAAATGATCATGAAACTGAGAAATCAGCCCTATGCTCCACAGTGGAAGCAAGAGGAGAGAAAAGCAGGGACTAGCTCTATGTGAATTTAATGTTTGCTTATTACAAGGGCAGACTTCATCGCAGTTTTCATTATTCACTTTACCCAAAATAACGCTACTCCGGGATTACAGAACGTCACTTCCCTTTCTCATATTAGCTACATGTTTTTTTGTCGTAAGTAATTCGATGAGAGAGGATGTTAGCCTCCTCCCCACAATTCCTTCTGCGGATTGCCGCGGTTATGAGTGGACCGGACACATTTGCTAATCTTGTTTTTATTACGTTTATGAGCCCGCATATGACTGTTGGCTCTGCCGTAGCTTTATAATATTGGATTTGTGTACCTTGCCTTCCTTCCGTGCGTTCTTATAATTACGCCACGCATTTGTGAAACCTATTTCATTTGTTTGCATTAAGTTTGCATTGGTGCATCCTGTTTGTTTTAGTATGAACTAATTGTAAAAGCCGTCCTACAAAGAGTATATGTCTCTAGAGAATAATCTTACGCTGCGACGTGTTTCGACTTTCAATCGGTCATCGTCAGGTGAGTAAATTACACTTCATGAAGAGTTTTATCTACATTTCGCCTCCATCTCCAGGGTCGAAGATGGAAGAGAAATGTTCCTTCGAAACATCGGTTGATTTTTAGCGGACAACACGGCATTGCATCCCAAAAGAAAGAACTGTTCATAACCACCGCTGTGAGGACCGCGGGTCTTGCAAGTATTGTTCATATCCTCTGAATATGCTCTGCCTTAAAAAAAAGAATTTCTTCACGTAAGTAATTTCTTTTAAATTAATCTGAGCAGCACATAAAAGAACTGAAAAATGTAGAGTAATCCTTTAATATTATGCGTTTTTCTAAACAATGTAATACACTATTCACGCATGAATTACTTTTTGTAAAACCACACAGAATTTGTAAACATGTTTATGATTTATAGCAATACAATGCATCTTGTTCCTGGCTCCAGTCTCTTAGATATTCATCTAAGAGGAGGCTATATATAGTGTCGCGTGTATCGGGGTACGCGTGACGAAATGACGGGTTCTAGTTCGGATGGTTGGATTTATTAGCAGCTTGGTTACACACTCTCTCTTGTTACACTTAAATACAGCGCTATCACTGATTTACACACACCTCATAATTCACTTTGCACGCACACACTAGTCCTCTCCAGGTAATTCAATTAAAACACAGGAACTAGAACTTCAAATCACTCCAAACATTGCACATAATTAAGGTGTTCTACGAACTTCCCGTTTAGGCCACTCTTACTGTCACTTAAACACTCGAACACTTTCAAATACTCCCATCTGTTTTGTCTTTAACTCTCGTTATATAGCCTCCACACTGACCACGGAGAAAACAGCCTATATTGTTGGAACGTGCTTACCGAATGATCGCATGGAACGGTCATGGCGCCGGCCGCATAGAGAAAACCACACTCCCATTACTGCCTTGAGCGTATTCGGTCGCGAGGTGTTTAACGGTCAGTTACCTAGCAACGCTGTGTCCATCCGCGTTACAATATATATATATATACACACACGGCCGCAGTCTTATATCTGTACAGACTGAAAAAATAGAGTCATGTTTCCAAAATTATCATGCTTTAGGAATATCTTGTACCAAGTGAAATTTCAGCATTTTAGTCTGTTAATGACCTCAGTGTTTAGCTCACCACAGAATTTCGAACGATTACCACGCTGCTATGAACAGTAGCTAGAAAACAGACTGAACTGAGCTCTCCAGTGATAGGTTGTGCTTAACGAAATTTTATAACTTTTCGTCTGGGAGGATGCACACGAATAAACCGTGCCACACATTCGGTCGAGGAACTGCAAATTACGGCACAAGACACGGAACTGAACCAGAAGCAACATTTCAGTTTCTTGCAGAGTTCGACTAAGAACGACGTCCCCGCTGTGCATTAGTCGCAAACGTCAATATGTGAACAATAACCTGTCATTCAGTGTATATCCTTCCTTAATACAAGTTTCTTATATATCATTATACGT